TTACATACATACATATATACATACATACATGACTGTACTGAAGATATTACATACTGGGCACTAGAATGAGTTTTCCCTACGCCGTTGTACTATTTCCTCAAGAAGGGACATACTCCGAAATTCTGACCTCATGGCTAACAGAAGATAATAATAAGTGTAGATGGCCACGAACCAGGAATGTTACCTTCTTTTTGAAAAAAAACAGTCCACCACATGAGGACTGGTTACTTTTTGATGTAAAAGTGCAATGTTACTGTGGTAAGCATACGTAAAATGGCAATTATTTCAAATAATATTATGCAATATTATTATAGCATGTTGTATTAACAGAAACTTTAGAAAAAGCACGAAAAAAAGCAGAAGATGCGAATTACGTAACTTCTAATGACGAAAGTACAGGGCGTGGGAAAAGAATCATACATGAAAAACAATTTGACGATATGTATGATACTTGCGACGGTAATACGGATAACGATAGCGGTAATTTAATTTTATCATATTACATTTTGATGTTATTGCACTAGAACTAAATTCTATTTAAAAAATAAGTATTTTTATTTATTTTAATATTGTGTCGACGATTCAGTATGCAATATATTCACACTTTAATAACTTTCATTAAATTATACAGATGTACCTCCGCAGTTACATAAGACTGATAATAAGAAGAGGGTAACAAAAGATAAATATTCGGATACATCAGTAAAAAAATATAAGTGCGTCAAACAATTGTCACAAATTGCCGACAAAAGTTCTACGCCAAACCGTTCACGTCTATGTAGCAAATCACAAACACAACAGATTAATTTAGTACGTGAGGAACTTTCTGATAATAATAATGAATTGGTAGTACCTAAATCTCAGGAAATTAATATACAAGGTAAGAGTTCAACGTTATTTTATTATTGATTTTATTAATGATATTTTTGGTACTAGATAAGCAAAACTGCCGAACTATATTACATAATATTTGCTGTAAATTTTTTCTCCAGCTTGCTAGAAATACAAGAGATGTTATCCAGCAAGACACAGATTGGCGACACAGTGTAAAACAGAATTATTTCATCCTTGTTTAATAATGGCAAACAACAAAGATAAAACGATTCACTGTGTTAAGCCCGCTGCAGACGATGCTATTTTTCCTGCTGGATTGCTTGCGATTTAGTAAATTACTAGAAATCCTGAGTGCTGAGTGGTGCAATGATAGTAATTTATTAGATTGCAAGCAACCCAGCAGGAAAAATAGTTCGCATCGTCTGCAGCGGGCTTAATACAGTGTCGCCTGTGTACGATGCTAGAAAGCACCCAGGATCAACTAGCAGATGATAACAGATTGACAATAAAAACCAAGCAGAATATGTCGTTCTGTAACCATTGAAATGGAATGTATTGCGGATCCTGCTCGATTTTTGTTGCCAATTTGCTATCAAGTTTTTTTTTAGCGAAGAGCACAGACTTCTGCATAATACATAAGGAAATAAACCAATCAGAGTTTTTCATTTCCACTTTGGGAATCGTATTATACATTATGGCCGGTATTCATAGTCGGATCTTATATTCAAGACCGTCTTGAATTTATCTAAAGATGCTGTATGGAACATTTGATTGGTTGCGGAGTATCTAGAGATGATCTTAAGACGGTCTTGAATATAAGATCTGACTATGAATACCGGCCTATGTATTATGCAGAAGTCTGTCTCCGCTTATGTCAGGCTGGACAGAACATAAACTTAATACAAACACAGATGGCTATGGATTTAGCATGGTATTCTAACCGAATTTGTTGCCAATCTGCTGACATACCGTTAACATTTTGCTTATTGAGTAAATTAGTATATGTCACATAAAATGTCTACATTT